CAGGGATCAATGAAATCTAATAATCATAAAAATGACTGCAGATAGTCAAGCAGAGACTGACATGGACAGGGAATTTGTCCTACATGCATGTCCAAAACACCCACACATAGCTGATTACAAAAAACCTGTCACCCACTAATCTAGACTGTAAAAATAACCGCAGGAATCATCAGAAATATTCATTTTCCTTAGGTTTTTTTTATTATTAAAAACAGTTTTTACAAGATATTTACAGCATGAAAAATATACATAGGATGACTAGCGTACATAAATGTTGGGATTAAAAAGTGAATAAAACAGCACACGGAGTAGCACACGGGAAGGGAAGAGACACGCAAAAAACAAACAAAAAAAAAAAACGAGAATGGAGCAGCGAAGGTGTGGTGGTGCTTTGGTCTAATCAGAGTGCCTAGTCTCCTGGAACAGGTATAGTGTGCCTGCATAGAGCTCTATACTATGTCACCATGCACGAGTCACTGTACAAGGAGGGCAGGGATGCTGACCCCGAGGTCGCCCCCACCCCACTGTCCTCACATCCTGAGACGTCCCAGCTGGAGGACAACAGCTGAACCCCGGGTAAATGCCGTCCAAATCTGGACAGCGACCGGCGCATCCACACCCTCCCCCATCCGCTCCCTCCAGCTGTCAGCTCTTCCTACTATTGTCAGTCTTCCTGCCCTCCCGGGGGGGTCGAGTGGCGAGTAAACAGCGCCGACGTGGAGACAGCCCCCACAGGTGTTTCGAGTTAAGTGTTCACCCTTCATCCTCCGCCGCCTTTGTGGAGGAATGGGTCAGGTTTCGCGTCGGTGAGGGAATCACTCCCTGCACTCTCATTACAGCAGCCGGGGATTCTATTTCCGCTTAAGCTCTAACCCTTTCTCACGGAGTGAAACTTTTCCTGGAGGGACTCAATTGTGCGACTGCTAACTCAGACTTTATTATTTTTTTTTACGTTTCCAAAAATACTCTTCTGCTGGCATTTATCTTCCAAAAAATATACAGCATTATATAAAAGGATAATATATGTTTCCACTGAAGAAAGTTCATCGGTTTGCACTTAATGAGCTGAAATTCAAACTACTTTGTGTGTTAAGACGGCCACTTCCTCCAGAGCCACAAGGTCGGATGGAGCCAGTGATGGGAAAGCTGGGATTTGGCAAACGGGTTCGGACCGGTGTCCTCGCCATCCCGCCATCCTGCACCTGCGCTCTGCCCCTGAACAGCCGTTGCTATGCTACTGCTAAACTAGCCAGTTAGTTGGGTGTACTGGTGTAACACGAAGCCAGGCGCGGAGCTCGCGTGATAGCTGTTTATGATCTGAATAATCTTTGTAATTATGTATCGTTTCCGCGTCTGGCTTGGGTGTCCCATCCCCAGGCGCGTGCTAATGCCTTCGCCTGACGGAAGAAAAACCCTGCCTCACCAGGAACGTTATCGGACACCGTCCCGCTAAAAGCAAGGAAAATCGATGGGGGTCCATAAAGCGAGGCTTTTATGATGATGTGGTTTGGGGGGGGGATCGTTCCCATAGAACGCCTCACCCACGCCGATAGACGCCTGCCCCCCTAGGGATGTCTGGGATGGGGTGGGGCGTGTCCCGTGTCCCATTTTTAGCCGCGAGTAACATGTAGCCTCTGCAACGCGCCACGTGCAAAGCGAGTCTGACAGATATGAGATGAAAGCGGCCATGACACCGGGCCGCGCCCTGCATGGGCCAGCGGGCTGGGTGGGGCGTCCCCGGCGTGACCCACATAGCCCACCCACTCGCTGTTCTGGTTCCCCCACATACCCTGAGCATGGTTACCGAGCACCACTTCCCTCTGAAAGGTCTGCGTCTGTGTCCTACCGGAGGACGAGTCCCCACTTTGGCCGAACAGCAACTTCATGGATTAGTGCATTTTCGTATGTAACCGCGTCACTAACCAGAAATCTACTTGTGCAAGCGGCATTGCCTATGTGCTCGGTGCATTCCTGAGCCGTCTGACATCCTGACGACACGAAAGGCCAGTCAGCCCCAAGGGGGACACCTCAGCGAAGCTGCCCTCAGTGAGGCATACCCTGCGGGGTGTCAGCTGACCCTCAGTGAGGCATACCCTGCGGGGTGTCAGCTGACCCTCAGTGAGGCATACCCTGCGGGGTGTCAGCTGACCCTCAGCCCTGGCCCTGACCTGCCTAGTGAGGCCCTCGCACCCGGCTCAGTGGCACTCGCATGAATTTTTAACCGAGCCCAGTTCTCATCTTTGCTCTGGTGCCACTTTATGCCATGTCAGGTGTCAGGAGCAAGTGATAATTGCCCTGACGAGCTGCAGTAATTAAATAAATAGTCCCCTGCCTGTAAGAGGCGTCCCTGGATACTGCCTGACTGCTTTATTGCTGTGTGTGCAGTGTGTGCAGTGTGTGCAGTGTGCTTTAATACATGTCGTTGACGTGAAACAATAGAAGGATCTTTTGGTGCAGGAGCTCTGGGGCGCCTCTGGATGAAGCCGTCAGGAGAGTTCTGGAGGGCCAGGCCTAGATCTCAGTGGCGGCGATCTCCTCAAAGTGGATCTTGCTGACGGCTGCATGTTCCAGCTGCCGGCTCTCCAGTGCCAGGCTGAGCTCCCGCATGACGCGCTCCAGCTCACGGTTGCGCCGGTACATCTGCACGTAGTTCTGCTGCAGCTGCTCCTGGTAGCGGATCACCTTCTCCTTCTCCTCCTGCCACACGCGCCGTTCGCCCTCGAAGGTGCTCAGCTGCTCCTCGCCACGCCGCCGCTCCAGCATGAGCTCCGCCCTCAGCCGCTCCACCTGCTGCCGCAGCACCTGCGTGCCACCGCCCGGCCCGCAGCCCTGCCGCTGCGCCTTCACCTCATCGCTCTCGCAGGCCAGCAGCCGCTCATCTGCCTCACGGTGGGTGGGGCTAAGCACTGGGGCCCGCCCAGGAGGTGGGCTGGCGGCACTGCATTGGCCGAGGGCCTCACGGAGGCGTACCGTCTCCTCCTCCAAGCGGCTGGCTTTCTCACGCAGGAGCTCCGCCTCACTCTTGCGCCGCTGCAGCTCATTCTCGCACACCTCCAGCTCGAGAGTGCGAGCGCGGGCAGCGGCGCGGGCCTCCTGGGCGCGGGCCTCGCCCGCCTGCAGCTCCGCCCGCGCCTCGCGCAGCTGCGCCTTCAGTGTGACGATCTCGCCAGTGCGCTGCGCCAGGTCTGCCTGCAGGTCCTTCAGCTGCTGCTTCAGGAGGGAGATCTCGCCCGTCTTCTGACACACCTGTCCGGGGCGATATGGAGAGAGGGGCGGAGCATCACCATTAGAGAAGCTGAAGCCACACCCACTAAAACCTGCCGCCCCAATAATATCCAGATCAACAAAAATGTACAGGAAAATCCAGCCTGTTTTTGGGAAGATGGCAGCAGTGTGTGTACAGGCCTCATGCCCCATGCTGCTTAATACTATAAGTCACTGTAGCAAGTAGCCAAAGTCACCCAAATTTCTAACCATACTGTAGTGTTTGCTCTTCCCCTCAAAAACAGTCTTTGAGCCATCCAATTCCCCCCCCGCTCACCTCCCACTTGGTCTCCTCCAGCCGGGGGCCCAGCTGCGTCTGCTGCCGCTGGATGGAGGCGCAGCGGCTCTCCAGCAGTTCGTGCTCCTGCAGCAGCTGCCCGAAATCCTCCTGCAGCTTTTTCTTCTCCTGCTGCAGCTGGTAGACCTGCAGCTGCAGCACCTGCTGGGCACGCTGGGCGCGTTGCGACGCCTGGCGCATCCGGCTGGCACAGCTCTGCCGCAGCTCCTCCAGCTCCTGCTCGCAGCGCTTCTGCTTCTCCTCATACACCTGCGGGGGTCAGGAGTTCAGGGGTCAGCACGCTGCGGGTGGAGACACGCTCCCTCGCCGTCCGCATTGGCGTTAGGGCGCCTGCACCTGGCAGATGGCTGCCTCGTTCTCGTCCAGGTTCTCCCGCAGCTGCTGCAGCTCCAGCTCCCTCTCGCGCAGCTTGTCCTCCAGGTCGCGGACCACACCCTCGTAGCCTTCGGCGGGCACTGGCGAGCGCACCCCACTGGAGCTGCCATCGGAGAGCGGCCGGCACCGCCCTCCCATAGAACCCGTGCTCTTGCTGGACGAGGAACGCCCACTGTCTGAGGTGGAGTGGCCGGGAGCAGCCCGGACTGGCTCCGGGGGGCCCACAGAGGGCTCCCCCACCCCCAGCCCGTAGCCCGTGCTACTGTACGTGGGCAGACTGGACAGGGAGTTACGGCCCGAGTCGGACGTGGCGCAGGATTGGCTGCCCCCCCCGCCTCCACCACCGCGCCCCCCGCTGTAGGAGCCGCGCTTCTCGCCACAGCCTGGCGAGCCACCGGACACTGGCAGGAGAAGGTTAAGGCTGCCCTGGCTCTCTGAAAGGGTGCCCCCTGGCCGAGGGGAAAGGTACTGCACTGAGTTCCGGTTCTTGGGCAGCACAGGCTTGAAGGCTGTGGGCCGGATCACCGTCTTCTCCATGTTCTGGAAGAGGAACCACAGATACTCATATGATTCTTAGACATTCCACTGACACGCGGGGGGGCAGAGAAGTCTGGACTGGGTGAGGGGGTCTTACCTTCTCTAGCTTCCCCGAAACGGGGACAAGCTTGGGAGGGGGCCCCCCGATGTTCCCGTTGAGGACCCGCATGTCTCCTGCATCCTCAGCATCACTGGCGGGGCCACCCGTCGACACAAGGTTGTCGTTCCAGTCACCGACAAAGTCCTCGTTCAGGTAGGCGTAGCTGGACACGTCACTGGTGGCGGGGGGGGGCTGCCTCCTGCCGGGGGGGGGCGGCTCGTGGCCCACCAGGTGCTCTGTTGAGCTGCCCCCGCGGAAGCAGCCGGTGCCAGGCGTGGGCTTGCGAACCCGAGCCCCAAGGTCGCCGGGCCGGGAGTGGCGCTCCTGGTATGAACGCCCCGCGATGAGGCTGCTGACAGAGCCCATGGCACCAGCAGGGGGCGACGGTGCGGGTGGGGACGGGGGGCACTGGGCGCTGATGGCGGAGCTGCAGGGGTCACTGGGGACAGGCAGGGCCTGGACAAGAGCCATGGTGGCCGTGTGAGGAGTCCACACGCTCTGTGGGGAGAGAGGCAGGGTCAGAGACTCTATCAGAGTCACAGTGGGATACACTGTGTCATTCTCAGCCTGAGTCAGGTCTGTCAGTGTGCTGGTGACTGACTCAATGGGGGAGACAGAGTCACTTTCAGAGTTAGTCGTTGAGTCTTAAATGACTGCCCCAGTTGGAAGTAAGGGGGCGGTTTGCTGGTCTAGCTCTAAGCCACCACAACATCTGGCGTAAATTAGCAGATGTGCACAGTGGGTCTGAGGGACAACCTGCAGTTTCTTATTCACTGCACCTTCACTGTCATCATCACTGCGCGTGACCATCTTTGCGATCATCATCGGGATCACTGTACCAACATCTCCATCATCATCTCCATCATCATCATCATCATCACCACACTGCAGATATTAGTTACTTAAACATGGAGCGTTTCACACCATCGCTCTAGATCTCCCGGGACGACATTAAGGTCTGTAGCCTCCTGCTCCATCACGACGGGAACTCCAATGAGGAGCTTTGAAAGCACCTAGACAGCATCATTCTTAGGAAACCTTCGCTTATTCTCTGCCGTCAGTCATCCGGCAAACCTGCTGAGGCGGGAGGCTCCTGGGAACCGCGGTCGGGGGCGGCTGGGTTATTAACAAGCTCCCTGACACCCGGCCGTGCCTCTGCGTGGGCCCCCGACATAACGGATTAGCCCCCCCAACCCTGGTCACACCCCCATCCCTCCACGCCACCTTCCCAAAGTGCGGCACAAAGCCATATGACAGCTTTAGAAGACAAACTCGGCCCTCCCAGCCCCGGTCCTTCCCAGCGTGACCTTGTGACCCAACCAAAACTCGACTGGTGAGCTTTTGTGGTGCCGACACCCCCCTCCCCCCCCCCCCGCCTTTCCAGACCTCCAAATCCTTTGACTCTCCTCCAGCCTTGAGAAGGAGCCCCTCGCCCACCTCGTCCTGCTGCTCTTTACACCAGGCAGCCCCCTTCGGCACCCGCCCCTCCCCCACCCCGGACGCAGGACTTAAGACGAATTACAGCGCCAGCCGTTCCTTTTGTTGCCGATCGGAGCCGGATTTGATCCGTGGGCCGAGTGAACGGAGAGCACTGCAGGTGCTGGGGATGCAGTGCCTAAATTGCGATACAAATAAGGGGTCAGCTGCCAAACTTCTTGGGAAGGGGGTCTCCACAGGAGTCCCCAGGATGCTCACAGGGGCATTCCATCACCACGGCAATGCCTCCCAGCTGTCCCATATCGGCCTGCCAGCCTCCAGCAGATCCAGGGTTGAGCTGAGACCTCGGACGGCATTGCAGGTGTGCCAAGGCACTCATGAGTTGCGCACGGGGGAAAGTCTGAGCTTTAGGAAACGCAAGACACACCATACGGTTCTCTCACCTTTGGAGAGCCGGCACTAGTCACAGCGGGCCGAAGAGCCGACCATCCCACCAAGCTCCTGCAATGGGGCTCTCCTGGCCGCGAGGGGGTAACCGATGCTACCATGACAACAGGTGCCACGACAACACTTCTGAATCAGGACAGAGTCCTAGGGGAGGTGGAAATGCAGCTGCAGCTGGGGGGGGGCATGATGACGATTCATACTGCGGATGGTGAGTCAGGCCTTTGCAGAGGGAACCGCCTCACCTCGCCGGCGCCCCCCCTGGGCACCATGAAGACATCACCTTCCTGACTCTTGGGGTGCCTGGGGTGGCCTGCTGTCCCACTTTGGAACTGGACTAACTGGGCCCCAGCAGCCTTAAGCAGGGACAGCTGGGCAGAATGGTGGGGCAGCTCATGCCTGGTTTCGCCTGCTGTGAGGCGGAGGGACAGAAGGACACTGATTCATTACAGCCGACGCTGCTAATTCACAGCAGCCTGAGGGCCAGCTGTTACTTATCTGTGATGCATTAAAGGGACATGGAGACAGAGGGGCTCTGTGGTGCTTAGGCTGTGCAGTACTAGGCTCTCTGTCCTGTGCTGGCTGTGCTGTACTAGGTTGTGCTGGCTGTGCTGTAATAGGCTGTGCTGCACTGGGCTTGATCTGGGCTTTAAAGGGGTTACTGATGAAATCACTGCTACACTGCATCAGTGATCCTCAGGAATGTGAGCAAGAAAGTCAGAGGCAGGCCAGGCCACCAACTGATACAGCAGTGTGCAGCACCTAACACACACACACACACACACACACACACACACACACACACACTCTGCTGACAGCAGCAGGGCAGGACTCCAGACATCAATACCTTTTTATCTCCAAAACCCCAAAATTCACCAGTCAGAATGTGTATGTGTGTGGGTGCGTGTGTGGGTGCGTGTGTGGGTGCGTGTGTGGGTACGTGTGGGTACGTGTGTGGGTGCGTG